AGTTTTGCTATCGAATTAAATTATTCGGTGCAAAGGACAAGGTGAAGGTTTGCGCGATTTAAATGTGGCTAAAGTCAGGAAATTTGGGTATAATTACCATATAATGAGTGTGCAAATTATCGATTATTCATGCCTCGAGGTATTAGGTTTCATTTTTTCAAAATTCAAAGAAGGATGTTTAAATTACGTAACGGATTTTATTCTTCGTAAATAAATCTTCATTTCATAAACGTGCGTGTCAGTTTATCATCAGTTAATTAAATGCAAGAAACCGTGATGTGTTTATTTCACGATTTCTCGGGTTTACATTTATTAATCGTTAATTTCATAACGCAAAAGTTTGTAATTAATTAATTAGTGAATGAAATTTGGCGCTTTTTCTCATTACTAAAACAGCAAAAGAACAGTTAAAAATGGAAAAATGAAAATATCTTGGCTTTATTAGTGTTTTAGGTGGTTTTAATTTGTTATTGTAGACAGTTTGCTACCTGTCTACAATAACAAATTAAAACCTAAACTAAAACAAAAAATATTAGCCACACCTGCATGCAATATTAGTTCGTAGAAAATTACAATTCAAAGAAAATTTTCCATTTAAACCTTATTTGCTCATCGTCTCCTTTATAGCTGTTTTTTTGTCTGCTGCATATTCATGTATTGATTTAAATATTAGCAAAGTAAATACTATTTCGTAGGATAGCGCAAATGCATATCAAGAACTTTCAGGTTTGCGTGTTTGACGATTAAACTTAATGAATGTTTGTTATAAATTGTACTTAATTTTCGAACGATTATAGGGCAATTATAGTATTAAACTTTTTGCAGAAATGTCATTAAAAGGTAATAAAATGGAACATTTGTGCTAAACTGCAATTTAATTTATTTCTAGGAAACAGATTCATAATTTAGTACAAATTAAACTTTGGGCTTAAAATCTTTTAAATCGCGTTGTGAATCTATAACTGGATTATTTGCTTTTCCAAGTAATGGAAGGTCGTTTTCCGAGTTTTAGGCGCGATGGTTTTAAAAATTTCTAAGTTAGTTATAATTTCAAGAACGAATTTTTGAATTTCTTGAATTTGAAACTCAGAGAAAACTTGACCTCTTTAAATTTTACGTCTCGAAAATGGGAGAAATACTGAGGTCAGAGGTCTGAAAATTTTGAAATTTTTAACCACAGCCAACTTCAGCACAAGATGTTTTTGACTGCACTATTTATCTTTGGTTGAACCCGAGGTTTGATGGTGATGATTTTGATCTTAATTATGATCCTCTTTTTCCAAATTAAATAAGAAATTCTTAAGTACTTCATACAAAAAATTAAAATGGTTTTCACAGAATCTTCTAGAAAACTTTACCTTTAAAAATATTGAGATTAAAGTTCTGAAAATTTTGAAATTTTTAACTACAGCCAACTCTAAATCAAGATTTTTCTATCGCACTGTTGATCTTTGGTTTAATCGCGGTTTAATAATGTTCATGATTTTGCTTTTAATTACGTAAAAAAAATGAGTTCATAGAATTTCAGTGGAAACTTGACCTCTTTTAACTTTGCATTCCGCAAATCATAAATTTTCAGGAACACGCTATTTAAAAATCTTTGAAAATTCTGATTACAATTGAAAATTGAAACGAGGTCATTTAAAGATTTAAATGATATTTAAATAGTAATTCCGGAACGGTCTACATATTCTCATTTCTGAGTTTGTTAGAGCCAGGAAAATTTATAAGAATTTAAAAACAAGCTAAAAACGGAAAATACGTGTTCTTAAAAGGATTTCGAGTGATCAAAATTGTGAAAGTTATGAAACTTTTAAGTACAGCCAACTTTAAATCAAAATGTTTTCCACAGCATTATTTGTATTTGTTTAAATCCAAGGTTTAATCCAATTTGATGTTATGGAAAAATGTTAATTATTTTGAATTAGAAACACATTCGTCTAAAGCATTTAATACAAAATCCCTTATTAAAACGGCTATCACAGTCTCAGAGAAAAATTTAGAAAACCTGAACTCTTTAAATTTTACGTTCCGAAAATGTGGGAAATATCCTTTGAAAATACTGAGATTAAAAGTCTGAAAGTTTTTAAATTTTTAACTACAGCTAACTTTAAATCAAGATTTTTCTATCGCCCTGTTCATCTTTGTTTGAATCGACGTTTAACGATGTTCAAGATTTTGTTTTTAATTATATATACATAAAAAATGTTTTCATAGAATTTCAGAGGAAACTTGACCTGTTTCATTCCTACGCTCCACAAATGCTGAATTTTCGGGAACACTATTTAAAAAACTTTGAAAAATTTAAATAGTAATTACAAAAGATACCCGATTAATTTTATGATCCTTTTTTTCCAATTTGAATCAGAAATTCTTAAGCACTTTATACAAAAAATTTAAATAGTTTTCACAGAATCTTCCAGAAAACTTTACCTTTAAAAATATTGAGATCAAAGTTCTATAAATTTTGAAATTTTTAACTACAACCAACTCTAAATCAAGATCTTTCTATCGCACTGTTGATCTTTGTTTGAATCGAGGTTTAATAATGTTCATGATTTTGCTTTTAATTATGTAAAAAAAAATGATTTCATAGAATTTCACTGGAAACTTGACCTCTTTTAACTTTGCATTCCGCAAATGATAAATTTTCAGGAACACGCTATTTGAAAACCTTTGAAGATTCTTATTACAATTGAAAATTGAAACGAGGTCAATTAAATATTTAAATGGAATTTAAATAGTAATTGCGAAACGATCTACATATTCTCATTTCTGAATTTGTTAGAACCAGGAAAATTTATAAAAATTTAAAAACAAGCTAGAAACAGAAAATACGTGTTCTTAAAAGGATTTCGAGTGATCAAAATTGTGAAAATTATGATTTTTTTGAGTACAGCCAGCTTTAGATCAAAATGTTTTCCTAGCATTATTTGTATTTGTTTAAATCCTAAGTTTGATCTTATCGAAAAATGTTAATTATTTTGAATTAGAAACATATTTGTCTAAAGCATTTAATACAAAATATTAGAGCGGAGGTCACAGTCTCAGAGAAATCTTAACCTTTTTAAATTTTACGTCCTAAAAATGTGGGAAATATCCTTTGAAAATACTAAGATCAAAGGTCCGAAAATTTTGAAATTTTTACCCACTGCCAACTTCAACTCAAAATGTTTTCGATCGCACTATTTAGCTTTGGTTGAATCCGATATTTAATGGTGATGATGATTTTGGTTTTAATTAAGTACATTATAAAAAAAATGATTTGATAACATTTCAGAGAATACTTGACCTCTTTAGATATTACGCTCCATGAATGGCAAATTTCCGGAAACACTATTTAAAAAAGTTTAAATGGTAATAAAAAAAGATGACTGATTTTTTTTATGATTCTATTGTTCCATTTTGAATTAGAAAGACTTCAGAACTTTATACAAAAAATTAAAATGGATTTCACAGTATCTCCCAGAAAATTTTACCTTTGAAATTATTGTGATCAAAAATTTTGAAAATTTTAAATACAGCCAACTTTAAATCAAGCTGTTTCTATCGCACTGTTGATCTTTGGTTGAATCCGAGGTTCAATGATGTTCATGATTTAAATAGTTTAAATTATGTTATAAAAAAATGATTGCATAGAATTTCAGAGGAAACTTGACCTCTTTTAACTTTTGATTCCGTAAAAAATAAATTTTTGGTAACACGCTATTATAATTTAAAAAACTTTGAAACTTCTGACTACAATTGAAAATTGTAATTGATAACGAAGTCATCTAAATATGTAAATGAAATTTAAGTAGTAATTCAGAAACGATATATGCATAATTTCATTTTTGAATTTGTTAAGAGACAGGAAAGTTTATTCAAATTTATGAAAAACAAGCTAAAAACGGAAAATACGTGTTCTCAAAAGGATTAAGAGTGATGAAAATTACGAAAATTTCAGAACTTTTAATTATAGCCAACCTTAAATCAAAATATTTTCGATCGCACTATTAGTATTTGATTATATTCAAGATTTGATCTAATGCAAAAGTGTTAATCATTTTGAATTAGAAACACCTGATCTTAAGCACTTTATATAAAAATTTAAAATGGTTTTTGGTGCATTCTCCGAAAAAACTTGATCTTTTTAAATTTTACATCCCGCAAATTTGGGAAGTACCATTTAAAAAAAATACGGGGATGAACGTTCTACAATTAAAAATTGTAATTGAAAATGAGATTTAAATAGTAATTCAGGAACGATATACATAATCTCATTTTTTAATTTTTTATAGCCAGAGAACTTTATAAGAATTTAAAAACAAGCTAAAAACGGAAAATATGTGTTCTCAAAGGATTACGACTATGAAAATTACGAAAATTTTGAAACTTTTGTTTATAGTCAGCTTTAAATCAAAATGTTTTCTATCGCACTATAAGTATTTGATTAAATTCAAGGTTTGGTTTTATGGGAAAATGTTAACCATTTTGAATTAAAATCATTAATTTAATAACAACAGACTTGTTGAAAAAAATTTAATAAGGATATTTCAAATTATCATATTAATATACAGATTGTATTAATTGCTGATCTCACTCCGTATAAAATCTAAATTTACAGTTTTCATAGCTCACGCACTCCGGAAATTATAACACAAACTCCAAATAACATTGTTTGTTTTTAATTTTCCAGACCCGTCAATTTTAATTATCGCAATCCCCTTTAATTAGCAAATCATTACGAGATAATTACACTGCTCAGTCACAGTCGCATCAAACATTTCGTCAATTTTCTAACCTTCCAAATTTTCACTCATCCTCTACCAAAAAAATTACCAATATTCAATGATCTTCACCCAATTAACGCCAACGTTCTGTCGCAACGCTATGACGAAACTTATGACACGCACACAAACACGCAATGTATTTTTAGACAAGATGTAAAAAAAACTGTCACAAAAAATTTACGCACTCTAAATCTAGTCAGGCAGCTATTTCCATTCATAACTACTCACCGGACCATCGAAAATCTCCTCGAATCTGGTTTGCACATCCTTGCCTTTTTTCGGTCGTACCATCACATAGATTTTCTTCAAATCGTAACACTCCCTCAGGAGCTTTTCCATGCACATTTTCCCGAGGTAACCGGTGGCACCAGTCAGAAAAATCGTAGAGTTGGCGTAAAATTTCGCTATTTCGCTGGGTTCTTCCGGTACGACCATGTCGGCGGCGGTGATGTCGCCGCCTTCACGTTGTGGGGTTTCGTACATGGTGGCCTGCAAGGAACGAATTTGTGTGGTTTACTTTCGTGGTGGAGGACGACGTCGCAGCTTTAGTTTTAATTGTGTAGTGGTCGTACTTTGAATAGATAGTTGCTCTAAGAGAAGGACTTCAGTGTGTGATAGTTGTTGGTTATTGTTAGTGGTGGAGACTGAGGAGAACAGGATTTTGTAAAGTACTACTTTTACATCGGTGGGGAGTTTTAGTGGTACCGACACTAATTTACGGTACCACCTACCCTACACCAGATAGAGCTTTCGCCTAATTTTTATCTCCGATTCCACGTTAAAAAAATATTTGTAAACAACCGAAAATCCCACGAACTTTTCTCTTACCTTGAATAATCGTCTTCCTTTGATCAGTACCCGCAGAGCGTATTCACAGAACCACGTTCACTTTCCGAGCTCGGCGTGTGTAAAGGTGTCGAATGCCTGTAACTGACATTGCAAGTTCAGTATAAGACTTAACTTATGCAAGTTTACCCCACTTCCAGTAAGTACTGCTTCGAATCGGAATATCAGCGATTGTTCAAATTTTACATAGGTATTAGGGGACATTAACCTTGACTGCCGAATTCAAGAACAATTTTTCGAATTTTGCGTAAGAGTTGCTAGTCGGTGCTGCGTAATTTCCAGTGGTGTCACAACCGGGTCGCCGTTGGCAGAAGGTTCAGAGGTGAAGATTTACACAAAAATGGATGTGGTTTTGGTGTTGGAGGATAAGAGAAACTAGTGTAACGAAACTGGAAGCATAAACATTCAAGGATTAAAAGTGATGAAAGAGTGATGAATGGGTTCGAAACCGTGGAGGTTTTTTAGAGGAATTGGGTTGAAAAGAAATATTTATTTTATTCAAAAATGTCAAAAATTGGAGTTTAATGTTTCTGCCACTTTAGAAATTTTTCAGGCTCGAAACCATCATTTTAAGTCTGGCACTTCCTCCAGTATGAGTATATTCTTTGCTCCATGGTCAAGACTAATCTTTTTACCATCTTGTTTACACAAATGGCGTAAAAGTGGAGATTGGTATGTAGGTACTTAGCAAAGGGAATGAGATAAATTATTCATTCTTTCGTATCTACAAGCGCCTCATTAACAGTGTGAGCGTTCAAAAAAGTTCTGAATGAAAAAACATCTTTGGTTTTATTATGGATTAAAGATAATCCAGAACTAATTTGTAGTGACCAAAAAATTGTCTGCAAAGAATGCAGTAAACTCCAAGATTAATTGTTAATATATAAATTCAAATTTCTTTGCACCAAATTTATTAAAAAATATATATATTTAATTTTTTAAACTATCAAACGTAATGAAAATAATACTTTTTCACTTAAAACTGTAACGAGAGTTTTTTCACGATTTCATTGATTATGATAAATCTATAAATTTTTAATTTGACAGTTGTAATAATTTTAAAGCCATTTTTTATTAAAAAAAAAAGACGTGTGTAACACGTTTTGAAAGCTATTTTGTCACTCGTTTAATTGGCAAACTTTAAACTTGTGAGAAAAAAAGCATGAATCACTTACTTGAGTGTCTAATTTTAAGACGAATAATCCAAATGAACATTACAGCAGCATACCGACGAAATATGTATCAGCATTAAAAAAATTATTTTACAATATTTTCACTTTTTTGCACTTTGGTTTAGTGGAAAATGAGCCTAATAGTTACTGTTTTTATGAAACTCGTATGTATTTATTTTGACACTTTTTTAGGAATAATGAAATTTTTGAGAATATAGCACTTTATTTTATTTCCCTCATTCATAAAAATTACTTATTTTCTCTATAAACGCTATCATTTTTCGCCTGTGATCAATTGTCGCATGCGACCAGTTGTACTTGCGACGAATTGTGGTGCGATGAATTGTGACTGCGACCAATTGTCGTTGCGACCAGTTGTCGCTGCGACCAATTGACGCGGCGATCAGTTGTTTGCGATCAATTGTCGCGCGACGAATTGTGCGCGACGAATTGACGCGGTACCGCTAACACCTCAGTACTACTGAATTCCTTAACAATGCAGATATTAACATTAGAATTAGCTAGCAGCTCACATGTAGAATTTACAGCACATTTTCTTTCATACACACATCACCCTTGATGTTTAACATAGAACCTGGAATACGCGTTTCCCCTTTGAGACTGTTTATAAAGGACCACAGTTTTTTTGGATCATCTCGAATACAATTAGATACCATTGCAAAATAATTAACATGATCAATCTTAATACTCGATTTTACAAGTTTGCGATAATTCTTAAATTTAACACAAGGGATAGTTACAGGTTTTTTGCAACAACTATCTGAGGCATAGTTTTTTTCGTCTTCTTCCGATCTCCTTTTGCTTTTGAGAGAATAAGAATATTCAATCTTTATTTTTTCTCGAAATAGTCTATTTTCTGCAATATGATAATTCCTCAGACATATAGACTTTGCAACTAAGCTCCGCTCCTTGATCTCATGACAAATAAAATGTTCGTCACAATCGAGACCGGGGCGGGTGGGCGGGGCTTAATTTTTATTTTCTTAGTGTGTGTGTAGTTTTCTTTCAATAACACGATACTTAAAACATATGTTATATGGTAATATCTTGTAGAGACATATGATCTCATAATTTAAGCCACGTCCCCCGTCTCACAGTGAATAAAAAAATTAATCACAATTGAGATGGGGCGGGTGGGTGGGGCTTATCCGTTGATTTTCTGTTTGTAACATTTATATATGTATATATAGTTTTTTTTTCAACAATAAAATACTTAGAATATCAAATGGCGAATTTGAGATTAGAATTATGTTTTAAGTATTGTGAGAATTATATTCAGCGCAAAATAGACAACGGTTTTATTAGAAATACACCAAAGATCAGTTTTTTCCACTCTAATAATTTCTAATAATTATTCCTGAAAACACTCTAGCTTTCTGTCAGTACTTACGGATTGTTAAAGATAGTTCTCGACGTTTCAAAATTTATTGCTATTAGTCTCAAAAACAGATTAGGTATTATAACTACAAGGGCTTACATTTTGCCATTTTTTTCTTAATATGTGTAGTCTTCTTTTCACAACAGAAAGGTACCTAAAAAATGTTTAAAATGGTAAATTTTGCAGGAAAGTATGGATTTTGCAGTTAGGCTCCGCCCCTTGGACGAATAAAAAAATCGTCAGAATTGAAACAGGGCGGGTGGGCGGGGCATATATTTTGTCTTTTTTTTTCTTAATATACATAGCCATCTTTTTATAACAAGAAACTTAAAACATGGTTAAAATGCTACATTTTTGCAAGGAAATATGGATTTTACAATTATGGTATGGAGACTAATTGCAAATTTGATATTTTCTTAGACAAATTTTCATTTTAAACATATTTTAAGTTTCATGAAGAAGTCTACACATATTAAAACAAAAAGGCAAAATGTGAGCCGCCGCTCACCCGCCTGGTCTCGATTGTGATGATTTTTTTTTATTCTAAGATACTTAAAACACATTTAAAATGGTTTTGTAAGAAAATATGGCAGGACAGGCTTAGGCGGGGCTTAATCTTTGGCTTTAATTTTTCTTAATATACATAGTATTCTTTGAATAACATCTGTAGACTTATTTCGGCAACAAGAAACTTAAAACATGTCTAAAATGGTAAATTTTTGTAGTAATCAACTTAAATCCTTTTCTTCCTCCATTTCACTGACTTATTTTATTTACTTTACTTACAAATGCGACTTGAATTCTATTTTAAAACAAAGTCACAATTAACTAGATTTAAATATTGGGTATCGTTTGGTCAGGTTACAAGTTCACTATTGTAAAAATAAATAATAATTTTTATACATTTATAAGTATTTGTTATTTTGGTATAACCATGATTTTTTGACCAACAGTTTAAAGATTTGCCTAAGACTCTAATAAAACAATAATGTTGTCATGAAGAGGAGGCAGATGGGCGAGGCAATTGCTTGCCAATAGAAGACCCTGCAGGAAAAGTTAAACTTAGCCCCGCCCACCCACCCCTTCTTTCATTGGTTTCTTCTGAAATAAGAAATAAATCTTAAAGTACATAGTATAACAAAAAAATACGGTTATCCCTTTTTTTTAACAGCCCCATACGTATTCTACAGAAGAACAAATAAATTCCTATCATGAAAATCCGTGATAATTTTTCTCTTCAAACCCAGTTGCCTCACAATTAAATCTTCATTGATAAATAGTTTGGGGTTACGCACAAAAGTTTTAGATTTTTGCTTTTCTTTAATATCAGTCCCACTTCATCCTTAGAATTTAACACTATCTTTTAAGGTCGAATTTTATTTTCAGATCTATCTTTCCCTAATCTAAAAATCCCAATTTTGCCAGTATCTACTTTAACATCTAAATGTTTAAAAATATCATTCACCAAGAACATCATCCATAGTCAATGATTCATTATTACAAATAGGCGAGGACAATAATACTTAAAACTCACTCATTTGTTTCTGAAGCTGTTAAATGGCACTAGTAAGACCGGCAATTTGTCCAGCAACATCAATCTTAGAACAGGCAGTGCAGGTCCAGTTTATATTCTTTTTAGATCTGAGGGCACGAGTGTCTTTATCATTTAAGTTCGCACAACTATTATTATTGAAAGTATTTTACAGATGAAACAAGTAACCACTTCGCCAGCAGGATATTCTTTATTACAGCATTTACATACAAACGGTCATTATTGGAGCGGGAAAAAATAAAAAATACAGGGATACACACTTCACGCTTGTGCCCTTTGCAGCGACGTTGTAAGAAGACAAACACAGTAAAAAATAGGGAACGGTAGGGTTCTGTTACAGAGCACCCAGGAGCGAAAAACTAAATATATAGTGCAACACTATAAGGTAAGAGCGTAAAAAAGGGATTGTTAAGGTTATTCTTTATAGGAGCCAAAAAAGAATAAAAAGAACTCTGGACTCACCACAATTAAGTAAAGAGAAACTTCAGACCACTGATAACAGCAATATTAACACCCACTTCAGCAACATTTAAATTGTCAAACATTTAGCAGAAATTATGCTCTATACAGCTCAAATGTCAAACTCGCTTGTTCTTTTAGTGTCTTGCTATTATCTAGGTATACTTTTTGCGCAAAAGAAACGAGTATGCTTACTTAATTAACTGGTCCTCTCTTTCGTGTTGAAGAGATAAAATCAATCAAATGTCAGTTTTATATATGTATGTATTTAATGCCACCGTTGCGTACTTCAGTGCTGGCCCTGATACGATATGACCAGTGTTGGGGACAGATACTTTTAAAAGTATCTAGATACAGATTGTTTTCGATTTTTTAGAAATGTATCTAGATACAGATACAAGAAAACAGATACTTTTTGAAGCTTTGGCGAATAAAATAACTGAAAACATGTTTATGTATTTTTGTATGTATTATTTAATGAATTTTTTAAAA